TATTCAACAATGACAAGAGAAGCATATTACAAACTTTTTTTTTTTTTTTGCAAACAAAGTATTTGAATTATATCGTACTAGCTTGCATCACTAACCTTTAGAACAATTTTACTGAAGTGGTGGGCAGAGCACAGATAGCCCATTGTGTAGCTTTGTGCTTAATTACAAACAAAAACTTGTAAGTAGATTAAAATTCAATGTTTCTTTAGTCGACGTGATCGTAAAGGAATAGTTTCAAGGTCTATCAAAAAACAACGTTGTATAAATTAGATTCTTAAGGCAAGAATAAATAAAATATTTAACGATGAACGTAACCATAATTCAATAAGTTTTTAAACGTATAAACTCTGTACTGTGTTTCTCAGAATAAGTTATCCTTACCCAAGGCCAAGATGACGCATTGTAATGTCTTCTTTGTAGCACTGGGAACAGCCCCAACCCTATTAATAACGTTTCTCGTAAAGTAGGTATTATGCGAGTGTCTGAGTACGTATATTTACAGCATTTTGGTAGACCTTTACTCGAAACTGTTGAGTTAACCAGCTTTTGTGTTTTGATCTCATTTTAAACAGTCATATATTCGTGTTATGAATTATTGTTGTGTTATTACTCCTGTATTTTAATGGCTACATGTTTTCATATACAAGCCTCACAAGTCTTTTTTTTTGTATTATTAAAAAAAGTCGAACGTTTTCCTTTTTTTTAACGTTCTAAGTTATTGTTTGGTATACAGAAAATTCTTTAAATGTTTGACTACATGGCTTACACATCTTCTGAATGAATTAAGCAGTAATACATAAACATTTTATGGTCTCTAGGTTAATTTTAGAAGTCAAAATCGACATATTCGAAAAAAATGTTTGTATACTTTGCTTGAACGTTTTAGAAGTTAAAAGGATAGTTGGAAACATAAATCCCAAAAAACAAGTTTATACCTAAGTTACGTGTCTTTTTGGTTGGGATATGATCTTGATTTGTTGTTATCTATGCTATTTTACAATACTAATGAAAACGAAATAAGTGACAAAATATTTAATTTTAGTACCTTTTATTATATGATATGATGTTTTATAATTGTATTTAAACTAGTATTTTATTTAAGTAAACATTTGTGAAAAATACACTATATACTAAATTTTGTATATGGAGTTCTTTCAAGGATATTTTTACATAATATAACTTCCCTATAATTTCAATGCATGTTTACGATGTTTCCTAGTCTATCTACAGTTCTTGAAATGCTTAAAAAAATGATTTTCATTCCGAAAATCAGATAGAAACTAAAAATACATATAAAATCAGCCTTATTTAGAATATATTGCGATATAATTTGTACGCCGTTAGGGTACCTTGATATTTATATAAACTAGCAAAGAACCGGAAAACATTTCAGGCCAAATTAGTATCTTTATCATAACAGTACTTCTTTAAATATAACATTTCTAGAACAATACAAACGAATTGTAATCATAGAC